ATTTACCGTTAAAAACCTGGTTTTTCGTAGTTTTGCGCACTTATAAGCCTGTAACTTAGTTGATTATGAACCGAGTTTCAGTTTACTACCGGGTTTAAAAAGAAGAAACTAAAGCCTTTTGAATGATTATACGTGAATAAAGAAACCTTTAGAGATCTTTTGTGTATTTACCCAGCAAACACATTTTTTTTTACTTTTTTCGCCTTTTCTCAACTTTGGTATGGTTTTTACGCATTATTTTATAAGGAAACTATATTAGTCATAAATTGACTGTGAAACTAAATTTAATAACTAGTAAAACTAGTTTTTACTTTCAAAAAGAGGACGAAAGTCTACTGACTGAAAACAAAATTTTTGTAAAAATATTATTTTTAGCTATACAACTCAAAAATATTTGCTTAACCGTTTCTCGATGAAGAGACCAGCAATATTCTGAGAATATTTTTATTTTATTTTTCCTTCGAAACGTTTTTAATTGTAGCTATTTCTTGGTGAAAGCGTTCGCATTTTTCATCACTGAACTGGCCCAAATAAAGCGAGAAGGAGTCCAAATACGAATGAAAGAAATGAATTTTTATGGACATGTTACAGCCCATTCCTCCGTAACCATTCAAAAATTCATAGACACATAGTTGTCGCTTCTGTGGTTTCCAAGGAAATTATTGCATAGCGCTATAAAACTCTGGTTCCGTGCGCAGAAGTGCAAAACTTTTGACTGCCATTCACCTGTGAGTGGCTAGAAGCGATTCTTGTGCGTCTGGTTCAAACCGCAGCTCACAACGTCCGGATATTTATATCCATGTATCCTCTGGGTAGCAACCAAACACCCGTTTGGGAGCGAGCTAAAGTGAGAAGGCGTAAAACCTCGCGTGTGCTGGGTTTGGGTCCCGCCATGTTAAAACCTCGCCCAATGAAAAAGAATAAACAGCCTCGGATGAGACCCCCTTTTTTTTATGCCGACCATAGCAAACGTATAAAGGACTATGATATGAGGGTATGCACCTGGAATATCCGCACCCTTAATGGGGAAGGTGCCTCTGCACGGCTGGTTGATGTCCTCGGGAAGACAAAGACTAACATCACCGCCATCCACGTAATGCGATGGACGGGGCAAGGAAAACTAAGCGTGAAGCCTACTATAGTTGCCACGTAAAGGAGCGCAAATTCAGTGTGGGATTCGTGGTAGGAGAGAGACTCCGTCGCCGGGTAATGGCGTTTAGCCCGGTGAACGAACGTCTAGCCACAATCCGCATCAAAGCGAGATTCTTTAACATCTCGCTCATCTGCGCCCATGCCCCGACGGAAGAGAAGGAAGAGGCGTCCAAGGATCTCTTCCATAAGCGCTTGGAACGTACATATCAGCTCTGCCCCGACACGATGTCAAACTCGTGCTTGGCGATTTGAATGCCAAAGTGGCCAAGGAAGGGATCTTTGGCGCCACTGTCGGAAAAATCAGCCTCCACGACGAAACGTCCGATAACGGACTGAGGCTGATCGACTTTGCCGGGGCCCGATACATGTTAGTATGTAGTACTAGGTTCCAGCCTAAGAACATCCGCCAAGCTACATGGCTGTCTCCAGATCGAAAAACGAGAAACCAAATCGATCATGTTGTGACAGACGGAAGGCATGCTTCCAGCGTTTTAGACGTACATACAATCCGAGGGCCAAACATGGACTCGGACTATCTTGTTGTAGCAAAGATACACACGCGCCTCTGTGCAGCAAAAAATGTGCGCCCAACAATGCAAGGAAAGCTTAACGTCGAAAAGCTGCAATCAAAACAGACGGCCAATTTATTCGCCACTCGACTCACACACCTGCTCTCTAAAAGCACTCTTCAACAATCCTACATAAGCGAGCAGTGGAACCGCATTTCCCGATCATTAAGTGCCGCCGCCGAAGAAGTAGTTGGATTTCAGCGATCCCGAAAGAACAACTGGTACGATGAGGAATGTCAAGAAGCCGCAGAGAAAAAAGTCGCCGCTTATAGGGCCACGCTGCGATCGGGCGGACCGTTATACGGAACTGAAGAAGGAAGCGAGACGCAGTTGCCGCAATAAGAAGAGATATACCGAAATACGTGAGTGCCATGAGCTTGAAATGCTAGCCGACAGGAAAAACCCCCGAAAATTTTACCAGAGGGTTGGGCGACTTCCGGAAGGTTTCAAGACCAGGGCGAACTCCTGTAAGAACCACAATGGCGACCTAGTGACCGATGTCCAGAATGTACTTACATTATGGAGGGAACACTTTTCCACCCTAATGAATGGTAGCAGCGCCGAAATTATTGGAGAAGAAGAACCCGAGCCCCCAGTCGATGACGATGGAGTCAATGTTCCACCACCTGACTATGACGAGATGCGAATAGCGATAGCGCGCTTGAAAAACAACAAAGCTGCTGGAGCTGACAGCCTGCCAGATGAGCTATTAAAGTACGGTCGCGAGGAGTTGATAAGGTGTATGCATCAACTCTTATGCAGAATATGGTCAGATGAACGCATGCCCAACGACTGGAATTTAAGTGTGATCTGCCCAATCCACAAGAAAGGCGATCCCGCTATTCGCGCCAACTAGCGCGGAAGAAGCATAGGTTATAAGGTCTTATATTGTGCAAAAGACTGAATCTCACCGTCAACGAACTGATTGGACCTTATCAGTGTGGCTTTAGGCCTGGAAAATCCAAAATATATCAGGTATTCACAATACTCCAAATCTTGGAAATGACCCGTGAGGAAAGGATCGACACTCACCACCTATTTGTCGGCTTTAAAGCCGCTTTTAACAGCACTAAAAGGAGTTGCCTGTACGCCGCTCTGTCTGAATTTGATATCCCCGCGAAACTAATACGGCTGAGTAAAATGTGTATCAGAATAGGGAAGGCCCTCTCCGAGCCGTTTGATACCAAACGAGGTTTCAGACAAGATGACTCCCTCTCGTTTGATATCTTTAATCTGATGTTAGAGAAGATAATAAGATTGCTGGCGTATGCCGACGACATCCATATGATGGGTAAAAACAAGGGCTACGTCTGTTCTGCCTTCTCGGGATTGGATAGCGAAGCAAAGCGAATGGGTTTGGTGGGGAACGAGGACAAAACAAAGTATCTCCTGTCATCACACAAACAGTCAGAGCGTACGCGGCTTGGCACTCACGTCACTGTTGTCAGTTACAAGTTTCAAAAAGTAGACGACTTCGTTTATTTAGGAACCAGCATTAACACCAATAATAATGTGCGTTGAAATGCAACGGAAAGTCACTCTTGACCTCAAGTGCTACTTTGGACTGAGTAGGCAATTGAGAAGTAAAGCCGTCTCTCGTCGTACAAAGATCACACTCTATAAGTCACTCATCATGCGTGTGCTGGTGTATGGCGCGGAGGCTTGGACAATGAAAACATCTGATGAAGCGGCTCTTGGAGTTTTAGAGAGAAAGATTCTGCGAAAGATTTACGGACCTTTACGCGTTGGCGATGGCGAATACCGAAGACGATTTAACGATGAGCCGTATGAGCATTACAACGATATAAAATTCAGCGGCTCCGCTGGCTTGGCCATGTCGTTCGAATGGACAGAAACGCTCCTGCTCTGAAAGTGTTCAACGCGGGCCGCGATGCTGTTCACAGAGGAAAAGGAAGGTCTCTTCTGCGTTGGAAAGACCAGGTGGAGAAGGACTTGGCTTTTGGACTCGGCCAAAATCGCTTAGGCGGTTACAGCGCCAATAAAGAAAGAAGAAGAAGCTAAAAACTCTTCCACGCACGTTTTTCTACACAGCTTAGCTTGTTCATAGTTTTACGAATTTTAGGTCCTATGAAAATAGCTAAAATTCATAAAAAGAGATAAAACCGATGAAAAAGTAATAGATGGGAGAATAAAAAATTAATACCTCCTTTCATTTTGGCTTCACCTAATTTTTGGAACATTTAAGATGACAAAAAGCGTCGCTATTTACATCAAATTTTTTTACAAATGAGTGGTATTCTCGGAGTCTTTCACAGCCCTTGCTCTGATTGCACGGTTGGCAAGGCTTTGCAAGACTCCAAGAATACCCCTATAGTTTCATATATCCTAGCTTTAAATGTAGTGGTGTTAGGACAACATTTTCAGCTTTAACCAATGGGACGTTTAAAACAGCCTATTTGATGCGGCTCTCGGGATGGCCATACTTTGGTATGATAGAAAACGTAAAATTAAAAAACAGAACGGACAAGAAAACATTCTTGATTTGTATAGCCAAAAATAATATTTTTACAAAAATTTTGTTTGCACTAAAAATTTAATAACTCACTAGACTTTCTTCCGTTTTTTATAGTAAACACTCGAAAAGACCTACCAGAAAATATACATAACAGGTATTTTTTAGTCTCGCACGGTGTTACTTTCAATCCTCTTAAGGAGATGTAGTAGATAGATATGTAATATATACATACACTATATCAATGAACTTTCGAACAAAACAAAAACATTTCTCCTCGAGACAAGAACACCGATATATGTCTTTATAATACTTTAAGATTCGACTGTAAATGCCGAAGATATGATGAAAAATGTAAAAAGGCAACCGGAAAAAAAAAATTTATTTCGAAATATACTAATACACTATGCTCAGGGGATACGGCGAATTTTTTTTCAGTATGGTCGAATGTAAAAACTTACGTACATTGCATTCAAAAGTTCCTGCTTTCTTTATGGGGGTATTATGGTACAAATTTTTGCGACACTCCATGTAAACTTTCAAACCTCAACTGATTTAAATGCAAGTGAATAAAGTGAAAGGTTTACGCAATGACAAAAAAAAATATTATTTCTGAAGCGCAATCGCAAGAAAAACAAGACGAAATAAATCTTCCTTTGAGTTTTTCGCTTTTTAACAAGCCTTTTATTGTTGCTTACACTTATTATTTGTGGAGCGCAATCGCAAGAAAAACAAGATGAAATAAATCTTCCTTTGAGTTGTTCGCTATTTAACAAGCCTTTTATTGTTGCTTACACTTTACTCACCTTATTATGTACACTTATGTCTGCCATATGGTCATGGCGCGATGCAACGACGCATGAAATTCTCGCATAAACATAAATCATAACAGCCATTGGAATGAAAAATGAGCCCATTGCAGAGAAAATCACATATCCTTCGTTCTGGTTGTAGCGGCACTCATTTAGATCACGTCGCCCCGGCTCATACCTGTGAAATATGAAGGTTAAGAAAAAATTAAATGTCAACTGAATTAAGTACCAAAAAGAAAATGGATAAAGCATAAATTTCTAATATATATTAATGTACTACATACATATGTGTATCCCGAAAATCCCGGATTTAAATGAATTTACTCATAGCGTCGCTAATGTAAACTAAACAGAGTTTTAGGAAAAGTTAGTTAGTTAGTAGTTAGTTTACATCAATCTACTCAAAACTTCCTCAAATCGAGAAACTTATAATTTGTCCGACGTGCTGGTAGAAGAAGTTCAAATGTTTTGTAATCCAGGAGATAGGGGTCATTATCTTCAAATGGCTTATGACTACCTTTTGACAGTTTAGCCTAAAAGTGTTGAGGCCGAAATAAATACATATGTTTCTCATCAGTAGGTTTTGCATGTAAAAACATCAGGTTAAGATAAGAAGACTCCGCTTTGAATGTTTCGCTGCTCTTACGAAAGCATTTTAAGTGCAATTATAACAACACCAACAATACAAAAAAGGGCTGTGTGTTTTTAACCAGGCCCACCTACAAACATGTATTTTGACCCGCTGAATCCGATTCTGATATCCATTTGACTCGTACACCCTCAAAATTTCGAATAAATTGCGAAAAAATGGCAAAAATTTCGGCATTCACCATTTCTTTATAGAGTAGAATAGGCATGTTTAGATAAATTATTTTTGTATATTTTTGTTTAATTTTTTTTTTTATTAATCATTACTTCCAAAATTACCTGGTATTAACATTACATTACGTTCCTCAATCACATGATTTTTTAAATGCAATTTAAAAATTTGTCTGATTTAATAAATATCGCTAGCTTAGAGTGCAAAGTTGCTAAGTCCCCATTTAAAAATTGGAAGATGAGGAAAAAACTTCTTATAGCCATTTTCTTCAAGTATTTCGCAAAACTTTGAATGCAAGATTTTGTCTGTTTAAAGCAAAGCAAATCTCCATACGAATCAGAGAGATTCGATCTTTATTAAAAGATTTCGGACTATTTTGGCCTTATCGAATCTTCAGGGCTTTTTTGGACTAACCAAATTTTCCTTTCACTGAATATAAATGAGAAAACATAAAACTAGGACCTTTACCCCTCTCGAAAAGATGCATTTTTAATTTTCCTAGCCTCCTGTGTCAATATATGATTTTTCATAAAAAGTGAAGTTAGCAACTTTTCACTCTAAGCTAGCGATATGTGAATTTTACAGTCAGTTTATCGTAAATTTTAAATAGTTTAACTTCATGGTATGTTCAAATGCTTTCAAAGATATTGAATTTTTCCTCATATTCATAAAAGTTATGACTCAATGTGAATCCCGGGAAAAATCCCGGGATCCCGGGATTAGTTATAAAACATCCCATAATCCCGGGATGGCAATTTCCCTCATTTTTTGGCATCCCTAGTGTATACTTATGCACCAGAGATCTATTGCGATATATACAGTATTTATTTATTATTTATACAAATTCAGTGTCATCGTCAAATGTATTCATCATGCAATATAAAGCTCCAAAGACTGTCATTTGTTTCAGAATAAGTAGAGCATTTTTCACTGAAAAAAATACGAGGACTTCCTCAACTCAAAATTCATTTTCTTATATCTTAACAAAATATGTAAAATTTAATAAAATTTAATACTTCAAAGCCTGGTGGGAACCCGTTAAAGTTATTTTAAAATGGCTAACTTATTGCGGATGCCTACATTTTATACTAAAATAAAGCGGTGTCCCACACAAAAGTAGATGTAGGATCACCTTAATACATACTTACAAAGATGGACAAGTATGTCAAAGTAAAAAAATTTCTGGGGCCTTCTGACGTCTACTACAGCTGCCATTTAAGGAGCGTAAATTTTGTTAGATTTGTCGTGAGAGAGGATTTTCGCCGCCGAGTACTGTTGTTCACCGCCGTGGACAAGCGTCTAGCCGCAATCGGCATCAAAGCAAGATTCTTCAACATCTTCCTCACCTGCGCCAAATGCCCGACGGAAAAGAAGGACCAGGCGTCCAAGAAACTCTTCTATGAGCGATGGGAGCGTACATCGCGACTTTGCCCCGAAATGATGTCAAAATCGTGCTTGGAGATTTCGATGCCAAGGTAGACAAGGAAGGGATCTTTAGGGCGAATATCGGAAAATTCATCAGATAACGGATTGAGGCTGATCGAATTCGCCGGGGCCCTAAACATGGTGGTATGAAGTACAAGGTTCAAGCATAAAAAGATCCATCAAGCTTGGCTGTCTACAAATCAAAAAACGAGAAACCAAATCGATCATGTTGTGATAGATGGAAGACACGCTTCCAGTATTTTAGACTCACGTACTCTCCGAGACCCAAACATTGACTCGGACCACTATCTTTTTGCAGCCAAGATATGAATCGTCCGCTGTGCAGAAAAAAATGTGCGCCCTGCAATGCAAGGAAAGCTCAACGTCGAAAAACTGCAATAACAACAGATGGCTAATGCATTGCCACTCGACTATTACACCTGCTTTCAGAGAGCTCTTCAACAAACCGACATATGCGAGTAGTGGAACAACATTTCCTAATTAAATACCGCAAGTGTGGCTTTAGATCTACCTAAGACCAGGTATTCACAATGGTGCAGGTAACAAGATCAACGGAAAGAAGGTCAATTGACTTTATTTCGCTCCAGGGTGGACATTATTACTTTTTCAAAAGCGAAATAAAGTCTAAAAAATTTGGAAATAAAGTCATTGACGCTATTTCCTCATTCAAATGGAAATATCGTCAACAATGCTTAAAGTATGTCGATTCAAAGGAAACAATTTTGTTCTTACAATAAACATCGCCCCGTAAGTGTTGTTTTTTAATAGATGAAAAAGGTTATTGCCAAATCCTCAGTGTTGTGATATTAATCCACACACAATAATTAACTACCACCAATTGATTTTATTAAAAAAATTTAAATTTCGAATATGTAAAAACACGATGCGAAAAACTAAATGCCTGCGCACAGCTGAAATACGAGAAATATTTAAAGAAAGAGTGTAGAAATGATCCATAACTTGCAAAGCATGTTTCGTTTCCACAAAAATAAAGCGAACACTATTAAATTGAAGAAACAGTCCATGTAAAAAACCACGGAGGAACACTGAAAGAATTCTGTGTTTTAAATTAGCATATTTTGAACGAATTCGGAATGTCTAAGGTGGAAAAGAAACCAACCTTTCTATAAGGAAACAATTATATAAAACGAATTTTCTTACACTGAATTCATGTCTCCGCCAGCAATTTGTGACGACATCATTTAAAAGCAGCTAAGGAGAACGACGACACTATTTATTAGATGGCACATTCAACGAGCCATTGTGCCAAAACGCGGGTATAAACAATTATTGATTATTTAATATCGGAACCGAGATCATATACATAAGTTTTAAGATTGGTTTTCACATCCTTTTGAAACACAAATTATATGCTTTTTTACTGCAGACAAGTTGTTGCCCCAAAACACAGCAGAAATCTTCCAATCAGGGCTGCCAACTATCCTTAGTTATGAGGTGCCATATTGAGGATAAAAAAGTGCCAAAATGTGCCAAATAGAAAAATAAAAGTGCCAAAAAAGGTGTCTTCCATTTAATTATTCACATTTAGCAATAAAATAAAGCTACATTTTCCAAACCAAAGTGCAATGATAAAATAAGATAAACTTGTTTATCTTATAGCCTTTATAAATTAGAAAATTTTAGTTGAGAAAAAGAAGAGCACGCAAATTAAGTGCCATTTGAAGTAAAATAGGGACAAATGGCACGGTTTGAGTCAAGTTGGCATCCCTTCTTCCCATAACTTACAAATATAAAAATGTGAAATATCGATGGCTTGAATTCATTATACCCTCTATCTGCAATTTGCACAAAAACTAATTTGTGATTTTAGAAACCATCTGGGACTTATTACCTGTCGTTATATAAGGTAGCATTAATATCACTGATGACAGTTAAAGCTGAGGTGGATTTTTATATCAGAATCTCATCTTTGTGAAAAGTGTGCAGATAGAGGGTATTACTGAATATAAGCTCTCGATGTTTAAAATATATACAAATTTTATTTCAACGTATACAAAAAATAAATCTAACTGCCCTACAGCACGGCGGGAGACGGGGAAGCTAAGTAAATTTAATGTTTGAAAGAGAAATAATGTCAATGGGTTTTATTTCGTTTTTGAAAAGGTAATAATGTCAATTGACTTTATTTCGCACCCGGGGTATTTCCGTTGATCTTATTACCTGTCACCATTCACAATACGCCAAATCTTGGAAAAGACCCGCGAGAAAAGAATCGACATTCACCACTTATTTGTCAATTTCAAAGCCGTTTCGCCAGCGCTAACAGGAGTTGCCTCCACGCCGCGATTTCTGAATTCGGCAACCCCGATAAATTGAACCGGCTGTGCAAAATGACGTTGAGTTATAACACCTGCTCTTTCAGAATTGGAAAAGACCGCTTGCTACCAACGGGGTTTCAGAAAGGGAGCCTTCGTTTCATGTAATTTCTTTAATCAGATGTTGGAGAAGATCTGCAGAACTGAACCCAACAGAAATAATTTTTTACATGAGCGTGTAATGCTGGCGTATGCCGGTGACATTGACATCATCGGTAACAACAACCGTGAAGTCGATTCTGCCTTTTCCAAGTTGGATAAGGAAGCCAAGCGATTGGGTCTGATGCAGCGTTCAGACTACCGAAACCCGATTCGGGAATAAATGACTCGAAAAATCGGAGTAAAAACGAAGTTTTCGGAGCATCTTAACATTATTTTATTAAGTAAGTTATGCGGAATGAAATGCGGACAATTTCTAAGCAGATTTTAAAAAATTCTGGTAAACTCAGGAGCCAAACTGAGTATACTAAAATCTACTGCACAATCTTAACAAGCATTTCACAAAAAATTGCCTCGTTGTATATTATAATGCTGAAATAATTTCCTTGGAAGCGAACGAACACTGAAAAATTGCTG